ACTGATCTCATACACAAGCCAAATGCACCTTAAAAAAATGACTCTGTATTTGCCCATCATTACAAGCCCACAGCCTGCCAACACAGGGCCTAAAACCTCTGCTTCTTCCTTAGGAAATATTTTTTTATTGAACTGTATCTGTTCGACCGCTGAACGCCCCACAAGGCAATGCGCCTTGTGAAGCCCTAATTGGCTAAAAGCTTGCACCTGACCACAGGGCTCAGTACTCTGTAAGAGCCATGAATGGTCAAAGTCATGCGGCTTCCCTGCTAATCGGGAAGCCTGGTGGCAAGTCTTTACAAGCCGCCCAGCTTCCCGGCTAGTCAGGAAGCCAGGTGGAGAGTCATTGCCACCTGGCTTCCTCAATGGGACTTCCGATATCGGTATTCGGTATTGGCGAGTACCGGAAAAAAAATATTGGTACTCGTACTCAATAATTAAAGACCGGTATCGGTGCATCCCTAGCTATTAGCATAATTTCTTTCCAGGGTAAATGTCATGAAAACAATACCACATTATGGCCACTAGATGGAGCGGAGGAGCACAGGAACCAAGTATTTACTTCCTCTGCCCCTCAGCTCCATCTGGTGGCCATAATGTGGTATTTACCTGCTATTATTACATTCAACCTGAAAGGAAAATATACTAATAACATCTGTTTTGCCTCCCTTTTCACAGAACAAATACACATGCAATTTTGCAGGGTGAATTGCTCTCTGGCTTGTACACCTTTTTGGTTTTTTGACATGTTTGGTTTTCCAACTTTAGTGTGTAATGTATGTAAATGTGTAAATGTAAAGACGGCGACATGGCCACACGCAATCAGATTTTGCTGATATTTTAACTCTGGCCCCCCAGCTCTGGTGGAACTACAAATCCCATTAAACATTGCAAGATTCTCAAAGCCACGGGCATGACTTCCAGAGACAGATGCATGATGGGATTTGTAGTTTCACCATAGCTGGAGGGCCGGAGTTTGCCCACCTCTGTTTTAACTGAGCAAAATCAACAACAATATTTTTGGGGGATTGCCTGGCATGGCATGCAATAAAAGGATTGTAAAGATCAGGGGTAGCCAAACTGCGGCCATCCAGCTGTGATGAAACTACAAGTCCCATTAGGCATTGCAAGTCTCTGACAGCCACAGGCATGGCCTACTGAGGCAGATGCATGATAGTATTTGTAGTTTCCCCACAGCTGGAGGGCTGCAGTTTGGCTATATGTCATCGTTTGCCAGGAGTTCAGCACCGAGGGGAAAAATAGTACATTTTACAAAAATATTACAATGTGTGCGTCATCCTAAAGTCTATTCGTTATTTTTCTTGATCTGAAAAGCAATAAAAAAAATTTGGGGTGGGGGGGATAACCACTTGCAACAAAGAATTCCCAGACCTGACCGGACCTGCACAATACAGAATAAAATTGATGCGTGTACGGCCAGCATTCCACAAGTTCTAATTTATGTTTGGACTGGAGACCCTTTAAGCTTCCAGATTTCCCTTCTCCCGGCTAGTCCATAAAAGCCAGTAATTAAAATACAATTATAACTGTGTTACCTTCACGATGCAGCAACCCGGAGCCCCGGGTATTTATTGCCCGCTGTGTACACAGAGGCATTTATAAATAAAATGGTATTACTTCTTAGAGCATAAAACAACAAAACATGGCACAGACAGTTGTCACCCTGGAACTGGCTCCAGTCTGGCAGGGCAGTTCATAAGAGAATCCCCAGGAGGGCAGAATACTGTGCGCGTGTTGAATTGTAGTGTACAGAGCGATTGAAGCTGCAGTATGCTACATGTTTGCTGTTACTGATAGAACATGGCTGCCCTCTTGTGGTCAGATTTAATACTGACATATGTATATACAGCTCACCTGATACACATGCACAGACATAGCTGGGGTGGACAAATGGGGCCTATTTATACAAAGGCTGCAATATGATTTAGCTTTTTAACTCTTTACTTTATTGGCTTTCAAAGAGATGCGGTTACTCATCTTCCCTGGTGTTTATAAAAGTAGTAACACACTATAAAAAGAGTATTATACTATATTTATAAAGTGCTGACCATTTACACAGTGCACTTTGGTCCCTGCCCTCAAGGAGCTTGCAATCTAAGGTCCCTATCTCATAGAGATGCACCGATACCGTTATTTCAGTATCAAGCACCGATATTTTTTTTTCAGTACTCGCCGATACCGTGTACCGGTAGTCCCATTCAGGAAGCCAGGCGGTGTGTATTGACTCACCACATGGCTTCCCGATTAGCAGGAAAGCCGCCCCCATGCTTCTCGTCACTAGGTGACGAGAAAGCATGGACCTAGCTTTCTGGTCAATCAGGAAGCCGGACGCTCCATGTTCCCTCGTCATGAGGTGACGAGGGAGCATGAAGCTGGCTTCCCGGCCAATCAAAAAGCCGGTTGTTGTGTCATTACACAACATCCAGCTTACTCATTGGCCAGCTTCCCGACCAATCAGGAAGCCAGGCAGCACGTCATTACATGCTGCCCGGCTTCCTCATTGCCCGGGAAGCCGGCTCCATGCTTTCTTGTCACAAGTGACAAGAGAGCATGGAGCCAGCTTCCTGATACCGGAAGTAGCGGGCTAGGCATGGGAGCATTTGGGCGAGTACGAGTACTTGTCCAAATACTCGGCATCAGCACCGATACTAGTATCGATGCATCCCTACTATCTCATGGCTAATTACATGTACCTTCCAGCATGTCTTTGGAGTGTGAGGGGAAACCAGAATACCCAGAGAAAACCCCCACAAGCACAGGGAGAACATGCAAACTCATTGCAGCTCGGGACCTAACCAGGATCCAAACCAGGGACCCCCCAGTACTGCAAGGCAGAAGCACTGACCACTATACCGCTGTGGTGCCCACACATGGGCAAAACAGCAGTAATACACTACATAGACAAATGTGTGTGGACATTCGACCATCCCCACCAAATCCTCCTTCCCTCCTGCTGATCTTTCAGCCGTTGGATACTTGCTTTAAAAAAACGCAAAGTCAAATGAGATGGGAGAACAAAGGATGGGACTTGAAGGATCCAAACAGCTCGGTGTAGGGATGGCTTCAGGTCCCTTATGCCAATATAAGAATATAATGACATGCTAAGAGGGAGGTTTGGAAAGCCTTTGAGTTCTGAGCTGTTCAGCCAGCAGAGCTGAAACCAAGAGGTCATAGAGAATGGCAGGTCCTGTATTGTGCCTGCACAGCAGCTGGAAGAGTTGCTGGAAAGCCACAAAGAGATGTGGTCACTCATCTTCCCTGGTATTTATGAAGGCAGTAATACATTATATGGACACAATTTTGTGGCCGTCGGACCATCACACCTATACTATATGGGCAAACTTATGTAGACATCCCTCCATTTCATTAAGTGCATATGTTTGCAGTAAGGGTATTGTTAATGGTACAACAAAGATATTTTAGACAACTGCAGCCTTCCAATGTTCTAGCAACAATTTGGAGAAGACCCTTATTTGTTCCAGCGTGACCGTGCCCCTGTCCACAAAGCCAGCTCCATAAAGACATGGTTTGATCAGTTTGGTGTTGAGGAACTTGAGTGCCCTGCGCAAAAACCTAATCTCAACCCTACTGAACACCTTTGGGGTGAATTGGACAGTAGACTGGCATCTGACCTCACAAATAGGAACATATTCCATCATACACCCTCCAATACCTTGTGAAGTACCTTCCCAGATGAGTGGAGGCTGTTCTAGCAACAAAAGGGGGGCAAATCTTTATTAATACCCACCATTCTGTGAGGTGATGTCCAGCAAGCTCATATTGGTGTGATGGTCAGCTGCCCACAAATTTTTGCCCATATAGTGTATATATTAGGAATACTTGTATTCGCCCAAATGCTCCAATGCCTAGCCTGATACTTCCTGGCTTCCTGATTGGCCAGAAAGCGACCTAGTGACGAAAAGCATGGGGACAGCTTCCCTGCTAATCGAGAAGCCGGGTGGCTAGTCTTTACACACCGCCTGGCAGTCTTTACACACCGCCTGGCAGTCTTTACACACCACCTGGCAGTCTTTACACACCGCCTGGCAGTCTTTACACACCACCTGGCAGTCTTTACACACCGCCTGGCTTCCTGAATGGGACTTCCGGTACTCTGTATCGGCGAGTACCGAAAAAAATTATATTGGTACTCGTACTCGATACCGAAATACCGGCATCGGTGCATCCCTAGTATATATGATAGCTAAGTTGCAAATTGGCTTTAAAAATGACAAATAGATGGACTGGACCTGTGTTGATGGACTTTGGGGTTGTATTGATGGACAAATGCAGCTTTCTTTTGGCATCAGCTTGAGATGCCTCTGGGATCCTTCAGAATTTATTGACAGGTGCAGTTGACCTCCTTCTGACCTGCCTCTGACCTGCTCCACGTTGCTTTTGCATTTCCATATACTTGTATGGGTAGAGAAGCAGTTGTGACACAAATATAATACGCAGGCCCTCAGAGGCAACACCATGTCTTAGAATTTGAGCAGAACTCAGACTGGAAGAGGAAAAGCCAGGACTAGGAGCTGATTAGCTGAAATGCGCATGTACTGACACTGAACATGCAGACAGAACATGAGAGCTTATTGAGCAGAAGGGTGACCTCATCACCGTGATGCTGACTCTTTATTGTCCAGTCAGGAGGCTGAGTGGGGGGGGGGGGGATCTGGCTGCCCTAACCCCATAGTTCTCCTTTAAGCTGATTCAGTCCCTTCCCATTTCCGCTCCTCACTACCTGTCCATAAGTAACATAGGTGTCGTTACTGATGAATAGTGAGACAGGAAAGATGGAAGGGGCGTGCCCAAGTTCTAGTTGAGGAGCACAGCACAGTACCCCTCCCCATTAATCTTAGCTCCCAGTTGGCTCTGCAAGGTATCTGAAAGAACATGCAGAATCCTGTTGGGGCAATTAAGGTCTTCAATCGCGTTAGTAGGTTTACCAACACAGGATCCCTTCCGTTGTCTTTACCTACCGGCATTATCTTGCAGCTTGGTGTTTTTGGTGTACGCAGAAAATCTGGAAAAAATGTCGATTCCGGCTGCGTTTGACTCGCGATGCTTTGCTGCCAATTTGGGGTATCTGCAAAAGGTAATAAATACACAAGAATAAATACATTGATGCAAAACAAATCGAGACAGGACATAAAAGTCTACACGGTTCATGCACCTCAACTAGGGTCATATTCACTCCAATCATCTTCAGATATTGAATATTGGCCATTAGAAATTAAGAGGACAACTTGGCACATCCTGCAGACATAGATGCCAACTGTCCTTCATGTGCCTTGACAGTCCCACATCTTAGACCTCAGCCCTGATGCTTGTGCATCCTGGGCCATCTTCAGATTACTTTTATTTGGCAGGTGGTTCAGCTTGCCAAACGCAACCATCGCAGTGAATGGGACCGAACTGCAACCGTGTGTCAACCGCTTGTCAGATTGCAGGGTGTAAATGAAGCCACAGAGCTCTGTTGCTGAAGACCTAAGTGAGGCATCCTCTTTAGTAATAGTCAGAGGCCGGGCCATCTGAAGGCATAATGTGTCAATGTCCTGTAATCATGTAATAGCACTAAGATGGTTGTATTGCACTGAGCTGCGGAATAGTAACTAAGAGTACAGGGTGAGTCAGAATGTTTCATCACGATCATGGAGAGACAATCAGAGTAGGGACCTCTTATATTTGTTGGCGTCCATTTCCTTCAGATGTATGAGTAGGGACCTCTTATATTTGATGGGGTCTATGTCATTCAGATGTATGTGTAGAGAGTATGTATGTGTAGGGACCTCTTTTAATTGTTGGGGTCTATGTCATTCAGATGTATGAGTAGGGACCTTTTATATTTGATGGGGTCTATGTCATTCAGATGTATGAGTAGGGACCCCCTATATTTGTTGGGGTCCATGCCATTCAGATGCATGTGTAGGGACCTCTTTTATTTGCTTGGGACCATGTCCTTTAGGTGTATTAGTAGGAACCTCTTTAATTTGTTGAGGTCCATGTCTTTCAGATGTATGATTTGGGACCCCCTATATTTGTTAGGGTCCATGCCATTCAGATGTATGATTAGGGACCCCCTAAATTTGTTGGGGTCCATGCCATTGAGATGTTTGTGTAGGGACCTCTTTTATTTGTTTGGGACCATGTCCTTTAGGTGTATGAGTAGGGACCTCATATTTGTTTGCGTCCATGTCATTTGGATGTATGAGTAGGAACCTCAATAATTTTTTGAGGTCCATGTCTTTCAGATGTATGATTTGGGACCCCCTATATTTGTTCAGCTCCATGTCATTCAGGTGTATGATTAGGGACCTCTTATATTTGTTGCAGTCCATGTCATTAAGATGTACGATTAGGGACCTCTTATATTTGTTGGGGTCCATGCCATTAAGATGTATGTGTAGGAACCTCTTATATTTGTTCAGGTCCATGTCATTCAGATGCAGAAGGAGGCAGGTTGGGTTGTCAGGAGGTTGTGTATCTGTTTGTCTATTGATAATAGGGAACGGTGCTTGCTAAAAAGGTCTTATGAGCAGTTGAAGAATAGATGAAGTAGCGAGCCTTCCGATTTGTAGCACCTCCAGCACATTGGTTTGGCTATTATTTGATTTGACATATTTTTTAGGTTTTGGTAAGCGCTTTGTAACTATCTATGTTATTAGAACTCATTCACACAACCGGAGAGGTGTAACCAGGGACAGGGCGAGAACAGATTGTGTCGGTGTGTCTCAGCTGCAGGTGTGACTACAAAGAGCTGCACACACAACTGCAAGACATGAAAGGCGTAATGAAGCAAAAATATAACAGACAAACAAAAAAAAAGTGTCATTTTGTCATGGGAAGGCAAAGCGGCTTTTGTCTCGCTAAAACAACACTGCAGACGGGAGCAAACAATGAGGGAGAGGAGATATCATTGTAATGTGAACCTCTATACAGGGCTGTGCTTAATGTTCATGCTGTCCTAGGCGGCGAGAATAATGCGCCTTTATATACAAGCTCCACCCACTTCTCCTACTAATAACATGACATCTTTATAGCTGTGAAAAGGAAAGCAAACATGTACTATGGATGCATTATATACAGCATAAGACTCCCTCAGTCTGTCATTCCAGAGGCTTCATAATGCTTAAAGCAAACCTGTCATAGACCTGGGCAACTGACACTCTGAAAACATAATCATACGTTACCTTCAGCATGCAACAATAAACCAAATATATACTGTAGGCAGCTGATGTTATATATAGACTTGACTTTTAAAAGTAAGGTGGCCACCTTGGGCCCTTTGGCATACTGGGGGTGGAGAAAGGTCAGAACCTGCAGCCTTTGCTGTTGAAGTAGCTCACAGCTCATGGGGGGTACTGTGCCTTGGGCGCTCAAGGAACCCCCTACCTCCCCTACCTCCAGTCCCTTTATAGTACCCGTACACCACTACGGTAGCTCCTTCCTCCTTCATAACTGTAGCCCCCAATAGCTTTTGTCAGGTGGCTACTAGACATTTAGTGATTGCCATAACTGTAGTCAGTCTGGCGTGATTATAGTTGGCATTTATTTGGTTAATTCCAGGTGTTCTTACATTGACTGTACACCCCTGGGTGGAATGTGACTCTACTGCAGTGTGGGACTGCGAATGAGGGACACTGTGAGTGTGTGTGCCATTCACCAGCCAATCACTGGGTCCCTCTCAACCAGTGTTGCATGCTGGGTAAGTGCATATATAGTGGAGGGAATTGCCATGTGCTCAGTTCTAGTTCGGGCTCCAGCCATGGATGAGTCCAGGGTGGGGTGTTGTCCAGCCACCCCCCAGGCTAAGCCTGAGGCCTGGGGGTAGGATGCTGGAGTGCAGGAAGTTTTTCGCTAGGCCTCAGTATGGAGGAGGCCTGTGTTGTTGTCAGAAGAGGAGAACCAGGAAAGCTGATGGCTGCTGGAGGTGCCCGGAACATAGTGGACCTCATGAGCAAGTCTGGTGTCTCTCCTGCTGAAGATTTGTGGCCATCCCTGACCATCTGCTGCTCTATTTTCTATTCAACTGTGCTGCCAATGGATCTACACTGAGATGCTAAAAAGAGATCTCGTGAGTCTGGAGTCTATGTCTGTTACATCCTGGATGTCTAGGATCCCTATACCCTCTCTCCCCAGTGTGAAGATGTTCATAAAAATTCTTCTGCATCATACTTTTGGCCTGGATGTCAATTCTGTGGGCACTAGAAGAGGGTGGTTAATGCTAATAGAGCAGCTGGTTACCAACATTTCTAGACAAACTAGTGATGACCTGGGTTATTCCAGCGGCTACTTCGGGGGGTGAGGAGGAAGGCAAAAATAATCTACAAGCATAGGCTAACTTGCTGTAAAACGGTAAAAACAAATTCCTTCCTGACCACATATAGGTGATCTGATGAATCCCTGGATCAACCAATGATCACATTTACGTATTCCCATAGAGTTCCCATAGAATTCCCAATGCCCTGTGTATAGTTTTATTATCAGACAGTTATACTCTCGCACGAGTCTATGGTCAGTGTGCATTTTTTTTTCTCCTTTTCAGAAGGTATGGAGGTGCAGTCTCCCCAACTTCAGCCATTGAGCTGATACATTCCTTGGCCTTGCGTCAAACGAATATAAAAGAGGAAATATCGGGTTCCCAGAATTTGTGCCATGTCACCCCTATATAATCACATCTACCTGTCATGCTATTAACTAGACATGTGCGATTCGTTGCGTTCCGAATCAATTTTCCGAAATTTGAACATTCGGATACGAATTTCCGAATCCCAAGGCATCCGAATGTGTCCGAATCCAAATTTCCGTTTCCGAATTTCGGATAACGTCCGAATTTCGTTCAAAAACTAAATTGAATCGGGCATCTGACTTTTCTGGCCAATCAGATGTGCTTTTCGGTTTAATGAATGGGTCTGAATAAAACATTTTGTTACGGCAACATGGGAGCCAGATACAGTATATACATATCATACTAAAGCTGAGGCTCCTAGACCCGAATTACATTCAGGATCCGAATTTCTGAAATGCATTCGGGAGCTCCTGAATGCCATTCGGGTCTGGGAGCCTCAGCTGTAGTAATATATGTATATGACTACCAGACCCAAATGACATTCTGGAGCTCCCGCATGCATTTCAGAAATTCGGATCCCAAATGCCATTCGGGTCTAGGAGATTCAGCTGTAGTATTAATATCTGGATACGGTTTTCTGTGGTATTCGCAACAAATATTCATAAACTCCTCCGAAACTAATGGAAATTCGGATTTTGTCCGAATATGAAACCCGAACCGAATTGAATTTCGGATCCGTAACCCGAAATAATTAAATAACTGAACCAAATTTTTCTGCAGCTTACATGTCTACTATTAACTGACCTTGAGGCGCTTGTGTATGCCTGCTCCAGACTTCACTATTGCTAATAAAGATTACCGTCTCTGTCACCCAAAAGTACCTGTGCTGTAAATAAGTGATCACCATATAACTATATAACTGGGCTTAGGGAAAAATCCAAAAGGTGTCATCTTTATGGGCAATAGTGACATCTGGGGCATACGCCTTAAGGTCAGTTAATAGCATGACAGGTCTTATAGTGGACTGGTGATGTATTTTAGGGTTATTGAGATCTCGAACTGTTTATTTATTTGATTGCAGTAATAACATCTTCTGATAATTGAGGTTCGGGCTCTTAGGGAAGATCCACAGACTTTACTCTAAGGTGACTACACACTATAAGGGGGTTTCCTTATATGCTTCACTGAGATGTGTCACATTAAGTGCATTAAAGATATTATTCCTATGTAACCGGGTGGCCTGTTCTCTCTCCCCCTCCCTGGTTTATGGGCCCAAGTATTTTCTGGACGAGTGCTGCAGTCCTCTGGGGTAAGTTTGAATGTATCGTGGCCACCTGACTATTTCTAATATGCTTGGTTAGGAAGTAAGTGGTGATTAGTTGTTGGTCGGCTAAAACACATATGCTGCTATTGTATAATACGGCATTAAGAACGCTTGTTGGAATATCATAGATGTCCATACCTTCCCGAAGAAGCAAGTACGCAAAACGCATTGAAGGTTGGAGGACTACATAAGCCTCTGGTTACAAATATACATTCTCTTGGGTCATGAACAATAGTTGCCTATGTGATATCTGTATATGATAACATGTATTAAGCCAAGCATTTTGATGGTCTCAAATATTTGTACTAACAACATGGATGTTTTTTTATGGGTTTTTTTTGTTTGTTTGAATAAAATATTGTATGTTTTAATTAGGGAATGGGTTGAAATTTCGGCCACCGAAACACATCAGCTGAAAATGGTACTTTGGGCAAAATACCGAAAGAAGAGGAGAAGGAGAGCACTGTGAGAGGCTGGCATGTCACAGTTGGCTGGGCTCTCCTCACGCACCGCCCCGCTCAGCTTCCTGTGACAAATCAGGATGGAGAGCGGTGTGGGGGTGGACACAGCTGTCACAGGAGGCCGAGCCGGTGGTACGGAAGAGGACTCAGCTGGCAAAGGGGACCAAGCTCTCCTCCCCGCACCGCCCCGCCCAGCCTCCTGTGACAAATGAGGATGGAGAGCGGTGCGGGGAGGAGGTAGCTGCCAGCTGTCACAGGAGCCCGAGCCAGTAGTACGGAGGAGGAGTCAGCTGTCAAATGGACCAAGCTCTCCTCCCTGCACCGTCCCACTAAGCCTCATGTGACAGCGAGTCAGGATGGAGAGCGGGTACAAGGACTCAATAATTGAGGACAGAGTATGTTTACTGTGTCCCCAATTGTGAATGAACAGGAAGTGCTCTACCTCACATGGACATGGAAACAATACTATCTCCACAGGTTATGAATGAACAGGAACTGAGGCTGAGTGATTTTCACTTCTCATAGTTCTCCTTTAAATGTTAATTGTTTGCAGGATATAAAGTTGGACACTAAAACATGAATATTTTGCTTTTCAACTGGACCTGTACTCAAATTTAACATTCTTGATGTGATGGATGTAAGAGTAATGAAAGAAAAAAAATGTACTTTCCCTGGAAAAATGGTGCTCACATAATAAAATGCGAAGACGTTTGATCACATGATCGCTGCTATAGGAGAACAGAGAGGAGTAGCCAATCTGAATGCTGGTCCTTCCCTTCAGTAGAGGTCATGTGACCACACAGCTAGGGTTTTCGATATTGGACCAGCACTCAATGAAACACGGGGCAATGTTCTGATCAGGAAAGGTTGTCCTAGGATTTTAATATAGATCCACTTTAATCTCATGGAGGGAACCCAACCTACCTCCCGAGTGTCTCCAATTGTCCTCCTCTAGATTATAAACTCAATGAGACAATAAGCACATTGACGCCCCTACTGTGCCTTGTGTAAACTAGGCTGGTGTGTTCCCTGGTTCTGGGCACCACCCTACTTAGAGAAGAAGGTCCGAAGCAGAGACTCATGTGACAAGAAGCTGTGGGTTTTTCCTAAAATCATAAAGTAAGCTCTAAAACTCAGACTGAAGGCAATGTGAGCGGGTTTGTTCAATCTTGCACAGATGAAGTGTCCTTCTCTCTGAATGGTCCTACCAGATATACTGAACTTGTTGACTGGAGCCAATGGAAAGGAATATGTGCTGCTGGTGGGGGAGCTTCGTACCTTGGTGGTGCCAATGTCTCCTCCAGGAACTCTTCTATCTTGTTCACATCTGTCTTCACCTCCCCGTTAAAGGTGAGAAAGGGAGGGTGGGTGCCCGGTGCGAGGTTGTGTAGATCTGCCGGCTTTCTGTAATTGTGAAAAACAATAAAACGTTGTGGTTAGATCTCTGGTGAGAAGGAACTCTAAGCCTGCAGGACCCAGGTGCAAAATAGAAGAGGTGCCCCTTTAACATATAATATATATCAGGTCTGAACAAAATGTTCCCCACTCATGGAGTGAGCCAACTCCCAAAATTTAGGAGCCATAAGCAATATGGTTTTGATCTGATGCTCAGAGATCTCTTCAACCCCTCCACAAACACACACACTCAACAGCAACCATATGTGCAGTACCTGTAACCTCCACCCCCACCATGCACCACGCCAGCCATATACCATACATATATTTCATGTATACCACTTGCTGCCAGCAGATGGCAAATGCAAGACAACAGCGCCACCTAGGGGCGGGTGAATAGTCTGTGTTGTGACCTGGATAGCCAAATATTAGCCTCCTCCCTCATTGCTAAGAAGAGACAGAACCTGCCTGTATTTTACATCTGCAGGAACAGTCAACAGGTTAAGAGTAGGGATGCACTGATACCTTTTTTTTTTCGTTATCGCGTACGAGTACTGATATTTTTTTTCCGGTACTTCCCAATACCGATACCGGTGCCGTGTGCCCCGATTATCAGGAAGTCGGCCGGCGGATCATGACCCGTCACCCGGCTTCCTGATTGTCATTGCCGATACCGAGTATTTAGACAAGTATTCGCCCAAATGCTCCGATACGTACCTCCGATACCTGAACTTCCGGTCAGAGGGAGATCTCCTCTGACTGGCAGTGCCGAGGGAGCATGGAGCCGGCTTCCTTACCAATCAGGAAGCCAAGCGGTGGATTATGACCCGCCTCCTGGCTTCCTGATGGAGGCTTCATTTGCCGAGGCTGCCGGGCGATGGATCATGAGGTTCTGTCCAGCTTCCTGATTGGTCAGGAAGCCAGGCTGCCTAGCAACAAGTGAAGCTGGCTTCCTAGCCAATTAGGAATCCGGGTGGCATGCCATGACCAGCCTTCCGGCTTCCTGATTGGCTAGGAAGTCGGCTTCACTTGTTACAAATATACATTCTCTTGGGTCATGAACAATAGTTGCCTATGTGATATCTGTATATGATAACATGTATTAAGCCAAGCATTTTGATGGTCTCAAATATTTGTACTAACAACATGGATGTTTTTTTATGGGTTTTTTTTGTTTGTTTGAATAAAATATTGTATGTTTTAATTAGGGAATGGGTTGAAATTTCGGCCACCGAAACACATCAGCTGAAAATGGTACTTTGGGCAAAATACCGAAAGAAGAGGAGAAGGAGAGCACTGTGAGAGGCTGGCATGTCACAGTTGGCTGGGCTCTCCTCACGCACCGCCCCGCTCAGCTTCCTGTGACAAATCAGGATGGAGAGCGGTGTGGGGGTGGACACAGCTGTCACAGGAGGCCGAGCCGGTGGTACGGAAGAGGACTCAGCTGGCAAAGGGGACCAAGCTCTCCTCCCCGCACCGCCCCGCCCAGCCTCCTGTGACAAATGAGGATGGAGAGCGGTGCGGGGAGGAGGTAGCTGCCAGCTGTCACAGGAGCCCGAGCCAGTAGTACGGAGGAGGAGTCAGCTGTCAAATGGACCAAGCTCTCCTCCCTGCACCGTCCCACTAAGCCTCATGTGACAGCGAGTCAGGATGGAGAGCGGGTACAAGGACTCAATAATTGAGGACAGAGTATGTTTACTGTGTCCCCAATTGTGAATGAACAGGAAGTGCTCTACCTCACATGGACATGGAAACAATACTATCTCCACAGGTTATGAATGAACAGGAACTGAGGCTGAGTGATTTTCACTTCTCATAGTTCTCCTTTAAATGTTAATTGTTTGCAGGATATAAAGTTGGACACTAAAACATGAATATTTTGCTTTTCAACTGGACCTGTACTCAAATTTAACATTCTTGATGTGATGGATGTAAGAGTAATGAAAGAAAAAAAATGTACTTTCCCTGGAAAAATGGTGCTCACATAATAAAATGCGAAGACGTTTGATCACATGATCGCTGCTATAGGAGAACAGAGAGGAGTAGCCAATCTGAATGCTGGTCCTTCCCTTCAGTAGAGGTCATGTGACCACACAGCTAGGGTTTTCGATATTGGACCAGCACTCAATGAAACACGGGGCAATGTTCTGATCAGGAAAGGTTGTCCTAGGATTTTAATATAGATCCACTTTAATCTCATGGAGGGAACCCAACCTACCTCCCGAGTGTCTCCAATTGTCCTCCTCTAGATTATAAACTCAATGAGACAATAAGCACATTGACGCCCCTACTGTGCCTTGTGTAAACTAGGCTGGTGTGTTCCCTGGTTCTGGGCACCACCCTACTTAGAGAAGAAGGTCCGAAGCAGAGACTCATGTGACAAGAAGCTGTGGGTTTTTCCTAAAATCATAAAGTAAGCTCTAAAACTCAGACTGAAGGCAATGTGAGCGGGTTTGTTCAATCTTGCACAGATGAAGTGTCCTTCTCTCTGAATGGTCCTACCAGATATACTGAACTTGTTGACTGGAGCCAATGGAAAGGAATATGTGCTGCTGGTGGGGGAGCTTCGTACCTTGGTGGTGCCAATGTCTCCTCCAGGAACTCTTCTATCTTGTTCACATCTGTCTTCACCTCCCCGTTAAAGGTGAGAAAGGGAGGGTGGGTGCCCGGTGCGAGGTTGTGTAGATCTGCCGGCTTTCTGTAATTGTGAAAAACAATAAAACGTTGTGGTTAGATCTCTGGTGAGAAGGAACTCTAAGCCTGCAGGACCCAGGTGCAAAATAGAAGAGGTGCCCCTTTAACATATAATATATATCAGGTCTGAACAAAATGTTCCCCACTCATGGAGTGAGCCAACTCCCAAAATTTAGGAGCCATAAGCAATATGGTTTTGATCTGATGCTCAGAGATCTCTTCAACCCCTCCACAAACACACACACTCAACAGCAACCATATGTGCAGTACCTGTAACCTCCACCCCCACCATGCACCACGCCAGCCATATACCATACATATATTTCATGTATACCACTTGCTGCCAGCAGATGGCAAATGCAAGACAACAGCGCCACCTAGGGGCGGGTGAATAGTCTGTGTTGTGACCTGGATAGCCAAATATTAGCCTCCTCCCTCATTGCTAAGAAGAGACAGAACCTGCCTGTATTTTACATCTGCAGGAACAGTCAACAGGTTAAGAGTAGGGATGCACTGATACCTTTTTTTTTTCGTTATCGCGTACGAGTACTGATATTTTTTTTCCGGTACTTCCCAATACCGATACCGGTGCCGTGTGCCCCGATTATCAGGAAGTCGGCCGGCGGATCATGACCCGTCACCCGGCTTCCTGATTGTCATTGCCGATACCGAGTATTTAGACAAGTATTCGCCCAAATGCTCCGATACGTACCTCCGATACCTGAACTTCCGGTCAGAGGGAGATCTCCTCTGACTGGCAGTGCCGAGGGAGCATGGAGCCGGCTTCCTTACCAATCAGGAAGCCAAGCGGTGGATTATGACCCGCCTCCTGGCTTCCTGATGGAGGCTTCATTTGCCGAGGCTGCCGGGCGATGGATCATGAGGTTCTGTCCAGCTTCCTGATTGGTCAGGAAGCCAGGCTGCCTAGCAACAAGTGAAGCTGGCTTCCTAGCCAATTAGGAATCCGGGTGGCATGCCATGACCAGCCTTCCGGCTTCCTGATTGGCTAGGAAGTCGGCTTCACTTGTTCCTGAGCAGCCTGGCTTTCTGACCAATCAGGGAGGCGGGTCATCACGTGCCACCTGTCTTCCTGATTGGTTAGGAAGCCAGGCTGCCTAGCAACAAGTGAAGCCGGCTTCCTAGCCAATCAGGAAGCCGGGAGGAGTCCCCTGATTGGAAAGGAAGCCGGCTCCATGCTCCCTTGGTATCGGGGAAGTTATCTGAGCATTTAGGCGAGTACTCGTCCAAATACTCGGTATCAACACCAATACTAGTATCGGTATTGGTGCATTCGTAGTTGAGAGCTAGTGCTGGGCTTTCTTATTAGAAACCCCAGAATGCTATGAAAACATATTTCCAAAATAGTTTACAAAAATGCATTAAAAAACCTTGTGAGCAGGTCCCAGCATTCCCTGCAGGCCCGACGTTCACCCCATTTGAGCGGGTCTGCTCCGAAGATCCCTTAGCGCCAGGCCTAATCTCCCAACTCTATGCCCAAGTGCTGATGGGCGATGCACCCCCCAGCCATAAATATATGCTAGCATGGGAAAAAGACCATGGTAGCCCAATAGACGAGGATTGCTGGAACACTATTTGGGAGGTGACCAAGTCTAGCTCTCGAAGCGCGCAGGCACTGGAAACCAACTACAAGCTCCTTTACCGGTGGTACCTGGTACCCAGTAGGCTTAGGTTGTTTGTCCCGGGCCACGAGGGAAGGTGCTTCCGAGGCTGCGAGGAGGTGGGTTCCTACATGCACATATGGTGGCACTGCCCCACTGTGCGGACTTTTTGTTCTAGAGTTTTTACTTTTATGTCATCAATCATGGCCCTCACACTGGCACCTGACCCAAAGGTGGCTCTCCTCAACCTGCCCCTAGAAGGAGTTACAACTAAACAACATAAGTTCCTACTCCATGGCCTCACAGCGGCCAAACAGATAGTAGCGAAGTCATGGCAATCCACCTCAGTACCTTTTGGGGAACTGGAAAACAGAATCCAGTGGTTCTTCACCAACGAACGTCTTCACGGCAAGGCTGATTGACAAGGTCCCTCACTTTGATCAGACCTGGGACCCTTGGATACGGCACCTACAGATGCACTCACTTGACGCCAGACTACTGGCACTCTGACCCGGGAGGGTGGGTTTCATGCCCTATAGCACCATGCCGGGTCTGTACCTCCATCAGGTCACCCCCACTCCCACCTATGAGCTTCTGCTGACCTTGTCTCCCTCCTGACCCTCCCTACTTCCCCCCCTTTACCCTTCCCTTACCTGAATGAACAACGAGGGTGGCGTACGGGTAGTACGCGGCCCCCCACAAATGTTTACACTTCTTTCTGTTACATCTAGAATATTAGAAGTTCACTAATTCAGCTAGATTAATGACCTTAGAAATGTTTATTGGTAACTGTTTGTGTTAAACCGTTGTGTGCTGCTCCTACCAGAGCAGTGCCTGTATAGCGAAAGTGTTGAGGACGCTAAGGGCTTGTTCACACCAAGCGCGGAGCAGATCCAGAGCAGAGCAGATCCAGACCGGATTAAAACCGCGTCCAATGTATTCCTATGGTATTTTGGCCTCCAGTTCACATCGCAGCGTGCGGATCCAGACCAGATCCAGACCGGATGAAAAAACTGCGGCAAGTCCTATTTTACCTGCTCTGGATCTGGTCTGGAACGCATCAAAAACGCATCAAAAACGCAACGCAATGCAACCCAATGCAATTCAATGGGAAAAAATAACCATAAAGAAAAAAAACCTCTATGGTCATCTGTCATGACCTAATCTTCCTTTGTCACTTCCTGTCTTTGGAAGGGACACATCACATGCAAACATTCCTACCTAGATATCGACATGCGGGTGTATGAAAAAAACTTGTCTGGGTGTGCACGACGGTCTGCATATAGAGTCCCAAACTGGCCCTTTGGATCTCTTTCTCTCATCAGTGGTTGCACCCAAAAGCGACGTCTCCTTACAGCACTTTGGCGTAGCAGTATAATAACCATCACCAGGAGCATGCCTGCATCCCATGGATCCATGTTGCAACAATTTTAAAAGGGAGACAAGGTCAGAGGAAGCAGGAAATAATCGGAACAGCTAATGAAAGGTCAAAGGTAAAAGGAAATGACCAAATAACCTTGTTAGCTTCCGGGAAAAAACGCATCAAAAACGCATCGTGCGTGTGCAGAAACCTGACCGGATCTGGTCTGCATTTGGTGTGAACAAGCCCTTAATGTCCATATCTTGCCATCACACGTGAACCCTTGTCACTGATATGTTGGACTGATGTTATGTGTTGTAAAACAAAAAGAAAAAATTATTGATTGAAAAAAAAAAAAACCTTGTGAAATCAAACTGACCAAAATCTACCATATGATGAGATAAGAAGGCCCGTTCTCACTTGGATTCCACAGTTCCAAAGCTTTATGGATCATGGCCAGACCTGGAAGCTGGACAGAGCGTCACAGGTTGCTAAGAGCTCTTAGCATACCTGGGATGCTGAGGCCACCTCAGGCTTCCTCATTATAGGAACAGCCCTGATCTGGATGATGCAAACATGAAACCTAGCACACTCACCAGCCAGCCTGCAAAAAAAAATCCTACATTGTCTCACAACTTGCGTTAAAAACAGAGGTTTTAGTTGCACAACTTTTGCAAAATATGTGGAAGTCGCACTGCGTCATCAAGGCTCCTCTGTGTAGTGCGGTCCTAATTCTAATCTATGAGAGCCGCCATCTTGGAGCATATATAGCAAAGGTGAATGGGGTGAAGCCCAACCTCATTATAGGCACAGGGAGACACGAGGAGCCCCGCACATCACAACGGCACCTGAAGCCCCCCTACCAGATCCAACAATCCTTAGTGATGGACTCCACCTATATAAAGCGTCAACTTCATAGGAAATAAAATGGGCTTTCAGCATATAATGGGCCCAACAAACAATGAAATACATAAAGACATTACAACAAAAGAAAAACAGAATAAACACATTTGGGGAGTGTGACCCTTTGTAGCCGGATCTCACCTCTTCAGGTCCACTGTGGTTACATTGAAGACGACTCCTTTCAGCCAGAGGATCATGAAGAGGCGCTGGGAGAAGGGGCAGTTTCCTATACTCTCCCCGTCACTGCCGGCCTACAAGAGAGGAACATCATCATTATAACTCACTGTGACCCGTATACTACAGAGACCTGTATACTGTGACCTGTATACTGTGACACGTATACTACAGAGACCTGTATACTGTGACCCGTATACTACAGAGACCTGTATACTGTGACCCGTATACTACAGAGACCTGTATACTGAGCCTAGGGTGACGGGAGGACGGTAGTTTGTGTCCTCCTGTTACCCTATGGAGAACTATGGGGAAAAGACCATAGTTCTCCTTTAAAGCCCTATACCAGGCAAAATATGACCCCTCCCCCTTCTCAGATATGTCTGAGACCCCAAATTGTTCACTGGTATGACGCTTTAAAACCTTTTACCCCTCACCCGTTTAGAGTTAGCAGGGAGCTGTGACCCCAGAATTATTGCTCTCACTCCGACGTTCGCGGCGATACCCAATATGTGTGGCGACATCATTGTTTACATACACGTGCATGCCCTGGTTACGCATGTTTATTCACATGCAAATGGCGGTGGGGCGTGTTTTATTTATTTTTATTATTTTTTTACTTTTTTTCAAAACTTTTTAGATTTTTTTCACTTAACTTTATTGCTATCACACCGGGGCTAACAAGCAGTTCCTGAGTCACTGCTGGGAGGGGAAACAGGGTGAGATGAGCGGCTGGGTCACTGCTGGGAGGGGAAACAGGGTGAGATGAGTTGCTGTCTTGTTGAGTCAATGTTAAGAGATCACTCTAAGAGATTCTGCAGATTATCTCACCCTGACTGGGAAACTCACCTCACCCTGTTCCCCCCTCCCAGCAGTGACCCAGAAACTCACCTCACCCTGTTCCCCCCTCCCAGCAGTGACCCAGCAACTCACCTCACCCTGTTCCCCCCTCCCAGCAGTGACCCAGCAACTCATCTCACCCTGTTACCCCCTCCCAGCAGTGACCCAGAACCCGCCCCCTGCCTGGTAATGTATAACAAGCCGGGCGTGCGTCGTACGTTCCTGCGTGCCTTTTCGTGGGCATTGGTCAACTGCCGCGCAAAGTCCACCGCACGACTTCCTACACTGGTCGGCCACGTTCTATTTAGTGGGCCTCTAAGTCCCGGGACCACCCAGTCCCTAAGCGAGTGCTCTGCGATGTACAGAAACTGATACAGCGGCGTCACGGGGCGAGCGCTTGTGTGTGCGCTGGGTTGCAGCCGCCCAGACAATGGCGGTAGTCAAGTGATGAAAGTTAAGCCCGCTCGGAAACCTAAACCTCGGCTTTAATTATTCATTGAAATTCCATTACTAGGACCTGCAGCGGCATTGCTGCCCACACATGTAGTCTGCGGCGGCAAAGGTTTGATGGCAATGGCGCACACAGCGGCAGTATCCACGTACAACGCAGTCTATTTGCACAAGCCGCGGTGTGCTCAGATCTCGACAGATCCCGTCCTTCTGTCTATAGCTGCCCACACGCCGGAAGACTTTCACATGAACCTTCATACAGAAACATCTCCTCAGAACCTTCCAGAATGTCGTCAGAGACTCGGGGAACGTCCTCCGAAAATCTCCTTTCAATTTAACATTCGATTGAACGAAAAACCGCAATCGCTGTTACGATTTCATTCAATCGGGAAAAACGTTTCAGCCTTTGATCTGACCCCCGATAACCCCCAATAACTATTAGAACATTGAGCGGTTGTTCCAAAATTCCAAATGTTAGAACCAAATTCTGGTGGTTGATGGTCGGCTTAAGGCCCCATTCACACTTGGCGATTCGCAAATCGCGCAACGCGTGATTTGCATTTTGCGCAATTTGCATTTTGCGCGATTTGCATTTTGCGCGATATTGCGCAAATGCTTGCATTGAAAAGCATCCCAGCAGTGACCCAGAAACTCACCTCACCCTGTTCCCCCCTCCCAGCAGTGACCCAGCAACTCACCTCACCCTGTTCCCCCCTCCCAGCAGTGACCCAGCAACAGCGGATAGGAAACGCTTCTGGAACGCAGCGTATGCAGGGAGGGAAGGGACTTCGGAAGGGAGGTTGTGCGCTCACGTGGCTGCTGAATATCCATTTAGAAATATTATTATTAGTAGTAGTAGTCATTATTATTATAATAATAATTAGGGATGCACCGATACCACTTTTTTAAGACCGAGTACGCTTACCGATACTTTTGATCAAGTACTCACAGATACCAATTACCGATACTTTTTCTTAAAGGGACAGGTCACATTTTTTCTAAAGCAATACAAACTAAGGTCACTTTCTTAATATTATGATTCATGAGATGACGAGGGAGCATGACGCCGGCTTCCCGGCCAATCAGAATGCCGGGCGCTGCGTCATTACACGGTGCCCGGCTTCCGGATTTGCTAGCTTCCTGACCAATCGGGAAGCTGGGCAGCGCGTCATTGCACGCTACCCGGCTTCCTGATTGGCTGGGAAGTCGGCTCCATGCTCCCTCCTCACAAGTGACGAGAGAGCATGGAGCCATTTCCTGGCCAATCAGGAAACCAGGCAATGTGTAATGATGCGCTTCCCGGCTTCCTGATACAGAAAGTACTCGTGCTAGGTATCGGAGCATTTGGGCGAGTACGAGTACTCACCCAAATACTCAGTATCGGCACCGATACCGATACTAGTATCGGTATCGGTGCATCCCTAATAATAATAATAATACATTGAGTTTATTATTAGTAGTAGCAGTAGTAGTAATAATAATGCTTTGAGTCATTTTTTATCATTATTATTATTAGTAGTAGTAATAATAATACATTGAGTCTATTATTATTAGCAGTAGTAATAATAATACATTGTTTTTAATATTATTATTATTATTATTAGTAGTAGTAGTATTAATAATACATTCAGTCTATTATTATTATTATTAGTAGTAGTAGTAGTAGTAGTAATAGTAATAATAATAATACATTGAGTCTATTATTATTATTAGTAGTAGTAGTAATAATAATACATTGAGTCTATTATTATTAGTAGTAGTAGTAATAATAATACATTGAGTCTATTATTATTATTAGTAGTAATAATAATAATAATACATTGAGTCTATTATTATTAGTAGTAGTAGTAGTAATAATAATAATACTTTGATTAATTTTTAATATTATTATTGTAGTAGTAGTAGTAAATTATTACTATTATTACTATTATTATTATTATACAAAGTTTAATAAAGCTTGAAAAATGCATTTGGAAAAATATTTTATTTTAAGAAAAATGTAATTGACGTAAAACATTTTTAATTGACTACAAATACTTTAAAACTGAAGTGGGGACTTATCAGAAAGCATAATAATTATTCACACAGCTTGTGGCGTTCTGCTCATAATTTACCATTACTATGAGCTGGCAGTGCACGGTACCCGCTATTACTTCTATTCACCAAAAATGTTCTTCTGTGCCCCTCTCTGATTTAGTTTCACTTTGGCTGAGTGGACTATGGCTCTACTGGCTCCCATCCCCTCTGTCCAGACTCCAATGGGATGACCCTTGTTGGCTGCTGAGGCACTCTTACTGGACGGGTGATATCACTTGGTGGAGCTTCTCCCCAACTAACTCTTGGCCCTGATTTTACCTGAAGTCAGGGAAGGTCAGACCCCAGTAGCAAAGAGAAACTAAATCAGAGTTAAAGAGGACATTTCACCCCTTCACTACAACCCACATCATCATGCAGCTCTGAGTGCTGATATGAAATCATTGTTTATTCATTTGTTGAACATTTTTTGCTCTTACAGTGTCTGCTTTTCCACTTCCTGGGTGTGAACGGCACTGGTGATGTAGCCCTAGTCTGGTTGAGTGAGGCACTGGTGATGTAGCCCTGGTCTGGTTGAGTGAGGCACTGGTGATGTAGCCCTGGTCTGGTTGAGTGAGGCACAGGTGATGTAGCCCTGGCCTGGTTAAGTGAGGCACTGGTGATGTAGCCCTGGCCTTGTTAAGTGAGGCACTGGTGATGTAGCCCTGCCCTGGTTGAGTGAGGCACTGGTGATGTAGCCCTAGTCTGGTTGAGTGAGGCACTGGTGATGTAGCCCTGGTCTGGTTGAGTGAGGCACTGGTGATGTAGCCCTGGCCTCACAGATGCATCCTGGGAAGGTGACATCACCAGTGCCCACCTGTAAACTGCAGAATCTTGTGAGATCTTATTTTCAGATGATGTGCACTGTCCCATGTTCCAGGAGGCAGACCAGAGTTCCAGGAAGTAAAGGGAGATGGATTCATCTGCCCTCAGTAAAAATGGCCGCCGTGAGAAGAATAAGGAGGAAAAGAAAAATAGGGTATATGGTGATACCTTGTATCACTGTATCGTCTTAAGGAAAGGACCCAAAGCATTGGCTTATTGACCCATCTGACTTAATTGTGTAATAAAACCAAATTTATTGGCACATTGGGCCATTGAGTGCTGGTGACCTATCTAGGCATTCCTGAAGTACCGCACTGCACCATCCATTGTGGTCAGTACAAGTATGGTCTCTGTTACCATTGGTACCAGCGCTGTATGGTGTGCAGCTGGCATCTACATTGAGTTATGTTGGGTCCAGGGCCATCCCCATAATGAGGCAGCCTGAGGCCATTGTGGCATCTCAATGGGTCACATGGGGTGGGCAGCATGGCCGCTCTGCTGCACAATGTTTGCAGTGTGCCTGACGCCCCCTTTTCCGGCCAGAGCATCTCAGGTTACCAAGAGCCAGGTGGTGAGATATGGGCAGTGAGATGTATATGGTCCATACACATCCCTCCAACCCAGGTCTTAGCGGCATCACTCTCCACCAGCAACGAAGCCCTGAGTCCAGTGCGTTACGAAGCCCTGAATCCAGTGCATTACGAAGCCCCGAGTCCAGTGCGTTACGAAGCCCCGAGTCCAGTGCGTTACGAAGCCCCGAGTCCAGTGCGTTACGAAGCCCCGAATCCAGTGCATTACGAAGCCCCGAGTCCAGTGCATTACGAAGCCCTGAGTCCAGTGCATTAGGAAGCCCCGAGTCCAGTGCGTTACGAAGCCACGAGTCCAGTGC